CCTCTTTGTGTTAGCTCATAGCCTTGAATTTAGCCTTGCTCCAAAAATGAAGATCTCTTAAAGTCCTCTTAAGCTTATGGTTAAGAGCTTGAGAAGGATCTCCTTTTGTGTTTTTATTCCATGATTTTTTTACTATAGCAACAGATGCTGGAACAGAGGTCCAAACCTCTTCAAACCTTAAAACCTTCTTATTAGGAGGGATGAAGTTCAATAGCTTTAACAAAATCGGACAATGGTCCGATGCCAATCTTGTCAAATGTCTCACCAAAATCCTGTAAGAAGAATTAAAGGTTGTAGCGTTAACCAAGCACCTATCCAGCTTCTCTAGAATTCTATCAGCTCCTCTCTTGTTGTTGCCCCAAGTATACTTGGGACCTACACAAGCAACCTCATGTAAGTCGTTACAAGTAATGAAAGATTTCATCTCCCTAGGACCCAAGCTTAAAAAAAATTTTCTTCCTCCTTTTTTTTCTTCCTTGGATAGCAAACAATTAAAGTCACCTCCGATTATCATAGGGAAATCTTCAGTCATATGATGCTCCAACCCCTCCCATAAATTGCTCTTATAAACATCTTTGTTGCCATAGATAGTAGCAATTCTACATGTTCCCTTATTGATTACATTGAGATCACCTATAAGGAATTGTGATGAATCTTCCGGCATGCAGAAATTAGCCAAATCTTGCCTCCAAATTACCAAGATACCTCGAGAGAGACCTTATGATGGAACATGACAGAAGTCCCATCCTTCACTAACCAAAGAACTAATAATCTTCTTATCCATAGCAGTAATTTTAGTCTCCACTAAGCCTAGGAAGAACAAACCATTCCCCCCTAATGAACTCCATCACATATAGAGAAGCTTTAGACTTCCCGGCTCCTCTACAGTTCCAGAAACCAATGGACGACAATAATGATTCAAGGGGAAGAGGTTCCCCACCCTTACTTTGCCTTCTCCTTCCAACTTTCTACTCCTCTGATTATGCTTTATAGGGCCCAAACCTTTCAATTTCTTGGCTGCTTTCCAACTCACTTTATTTGGACCTTCTTCTTCTAGACTGAACTAATCCTCCGGGTGATCAACTTCCAAGGATGCTTCTATAGCTCCTCCTAAAATGAAAGTTTCTGAAGTGATTTCCAATACAGAGCTTTCTGTATTATTATCCACTATTTATCCTTCTTCTCTTAAGCTGCTTAATACTTCAAATTTGTTAGGTTTGCATAGTATATCATTAGTTTTTAAGAAACTCGTCTCTTTGATTCCTTAATAATTCTCCTTTTGAGCTATAGACGGAAAAAAATCTCTTCTGAAGGGTTTTCCACAATTCTGGAAATGGTCTTCTTTCTGAGCTCATTTTCTTCTACTACAGTTTTGCTAAATCTCCCACTTTATTAAAATTTCCTTCTGCATTAGTCTGTCGAATCCATTTGTTTTGAAACTTGGAGGTTCTCCATTTCTTCCTTCCATAGTCCACGTGAATCCATGGACCATAATTATCTTCCTTACTTTTGATGCCTTCTATTACCACCGGATTATTCATTGACAACTCCTTTGCCTCTAAAGATCCCCCTATCACAGATTCAGCCAAAGGTTTGTTGAGGACCCCAGCTAGCTCCACAATGCTCTCCTTACAAAATTTCTCTACATGTCCTATCCTCCCACATTTGAAGCAAATGTTTGGCAGTTTTTCATAACATACTTTCTGATAGAACTTGCCGAAAGAGCCTTCCACCCACACACCTAATGGAAGCTTGCCATCCAACTTTAATTTGACACAAATTCTGGCATACTCGCGCCTCCCCCACTGAAGCATGTTCTAATCTATCAGAATTGGAATGCCAACCTTTGAAGCAATTCTTCAAATGTTGATTTTATCCCAACTTTGAATTGGAAGATTAGGTAGCCTAATCCACACAGTGTTGAAACTTGTTCAATATGAATTAGGTTGAAAAAACTAAGCTTGTGTCCCAGCGGCTAACCAAGAGGGGGGCGGGGGTGAATTGGTAATTAAAAATTAATCCCTCTTTTAAAAATTTAAAAATAAGAATTAACTTTAGTGAATTTTATAAAAAGAGATTTTTCAACTACAAGTTAATACAATAAAAATTAAAAGGCAGCAAAAATAAAAAGACACAAGATTTATAGTGGTGCGATCAAACACGACCTACATCCACTCCCCGGAGCACCCTCCGAGTATTGCACTAATACCACTAGTGACTCTCCTTTCACACCCACAGCAAGGCGGAGAAGCCTTTACAAAACTCTCTTCCAACCACTACCCGGTGTGGCAGAGAACCGTCATCCTTTTACACACTTCCCAGTGTTGGCAGAGAATCGCTTGTCCTTTCCCACTCTCCTAGTGTAGGCAGAGAAACCTTTGTCCTTTCACACTCCCCATGTGTAGGCAGAGAACCCTTCATCCTTTCACACTCTCCATGTGTGGGCAGAGAACCTTTCGGCTGTTCACACTCTCCAAGTGTTGGTAGAGAACCAGATCTCTTTGATAGATCTTCTTACAAGAAATCTAGAAGGAAGAAAGAAAAGAGTGAAGTAATCGAAAATGAGAAAGTTTAGGGCCCTTACTAGTAATACCAATGCCAACCGAATTGCCTTTTTGATTAAATGCATTAGAAAGGATTTGAGCACACATGATAAACAAGATAGGTGATAAGGGGCATCCTTGATGGAATCCACTCTTAGCATCAATCCAATTAGAATATTTCCCATTAATGAGTAGGGAGAATTTGGGATTGTAAATTCACTCCCAAATAAGATTAGCAATTTTGCAAGGAAAACCAATATTATTCATTGCTTTGGCTAAAGCCTTCCACCCCATTAAATCATAGGCTTGCTCCATGTCAATTTTGTAAGATGCTAAACCTTTAAAGGATTTAGAAAATCTGAATTTATGAAAAATTTTATGGGCCACTAATACATTACAATAGATTGATCTACCTCTTATAAAGGCCGCTTGTTCTTTTGAAATAATCTTAGGAGCAATAACTAACAACCTATTTAAAAGAATCTTTGTTGCAATTTTATAAATTGAGTTGCAAAGACTAACAGGTCTATAGTTAGAAGGAGTCAAAGGATTTTTAATTTTTGGAATTAGGACAATGATAGTTTCCTTCCACTTATCTTCCATTCTACCATGAATGAAGAAGTGTTCCAAAGCACTCCATAAATCAATATTAATGATTTGCCAATATGATTTGAAAAAGGAATAAGTCATACCATCGTTTCTTGGGGCAATGTTCCCTCCAACTTCCTTGATAACCTTCTCCATTTCTTCAAAATAAAATTCTCTGTTAAGTAGCTCAGCATCCTCTTCATTAATAGTCTTCCACGGTTTTGGCCAATTCTCCAAGTTGTAGCTCCTCTCTTCCCATTTGTTTTTGAAATATTGTAGAATAACATCTTCAATTTGATTTTGGTCTTTAGCAATGATCCCTTCATTCCCTTTGATTCTATGAATGAAGATGGAATTTTTCCTTGCACTAGCATACGTTTGAAAAAACTTTGAATTAGCATCTCCTTCCATGAGCCATTTAACTTTAGCTCTTTACCTCCACCAGGTGTTGATCCGAGCCAAAACGGAATTCAATTCATCAGTTTTTGCTGTAAGCAGCCATCCGTCTTCTTCAGTCAAATACCCGTTCTCAGCTTCTTTTTGTTGTAGTTCCAGAATTCCTATTTTTAAACATTCTATGGACTGATTAAGCTCTTGAAATTTAGCCTTGCTTCAGTAGTATAGAGCTCTTAAAGTCTTCTTCATTTTCTGATTTAGACTTTGAGCTGGATTTACTTGAGTTTTTTCCTTCCAAGTCTTCCTCACTATTGCCATAGATGCTGGAATAGAAGTCCAAACATCCTAAAAATTTTATCATCTTCTTGAACACTTATTTTCGTGCTAACAAGTTTAAGATTATTGGGCAGTGGTCAGAGCCGATCCTAGCCAAATACATCACCTTTAATTGATGGGGAACGTTTAAAGCCGCCGTGTTGAGTAATTATCTATCAAGTTTTTTCAAAATCCTTTCAACTCCTTTTTTATTGTTGCACCAAGTGAACTTTGGTCCAACAAAATCAACCTCATGTAAATCATTACAAGATACAAAGGTTTTCATCTCATTTGGCCGAAGAGAGAATGTGAAACTCCTACCACCTCTTTTTTCTTCCCTGGATAATAAGCAGTTGAAATCACCTCCCACTACCGTAGGAATGTCTTTGGACATATGCTTTTCCAAATTCTCCCATAATTGTCTTCTTTTGTATACATCTTTGCTCCCATACACAGTAGCAATTCTCCAACTAGCTTTGTTGAAAACATTTAGCTCACCCACGACATATTGAGAAGAATAATCAAAAATATTAAATGATGCTACATTATGATTCCATAGCACCATTATTCCACCAGATAACCCTTTAAAAGAGACATAAACAAAGTCCCAATCATCAACCAGAGCAAATTGAACCATCCTCTTATCAACAATAGATATCTTGGTTTCTACCAACCCAAGAAAGAACAAATCATTATCTTTTATAAACTCCTTCATGTAAAGAGAAGCCTTCCTCTACCTAGCTCCTCTACAATTCCAAAATCCTATTGAAGACATTATAGAATTATTGGGGAATGAGTCCCCAACCTTTCTTTTGTTTCCACCTCAATTTTTCTTCCCCTTGGCTCAGATTTTATGGGTCCTAAGCCTTTGACTAGCTTAGACCCTCTCTTCTTTATTTTACTAGAGTCTTCTTCTGTGTTTTTAGCATTTTCCATGTTAATTCCTGCACCTTTCTTCAAGTCATCATTGCCAATGCTTTTTTCAAATAGAGGAGCTTCATCATTTCTTATAGCTTCAGAATTGTTTCTAACAAATTCACCTTCCTCAATTTCCATGTTTAAGATTTCAAATTTGTTTTTTGTGCTAGGAAAGTAGTCATTTTTTGGTACAAAATTATCTTTGTCTTCAATGATTCCTCCAGTTTTTGTTTCTTCTTTTTACTGAGAAAGATCTACTTGATCTGCAAGGATTTGTTCTTCTGTTCTTGCTTCAGAAATTTTGTCTTCAATTTTTACTCTAGCTGCAGAATGCCCATTTTTATCATTAGACTTCATTGAAATTTCTCCTTCAACTATCTTGTTTTCTTTTCTGGGAAGAGGCCGAGTCCAAGTATATTTGGACTTATCATTCCAGAAATTTTTCTTCCCATATTTAATCTGGATCCAGGGTCCATATCCTTCACTTTCATTTTCCACCTTTGAATCATCTTTTTGTTTGACATTTGTAGTATGGGATAAGCCAGCATTATTGTTAGGGGCTATAGGAATAGCCTTGACAGAGTTTTCATAACAGTTTTTACCCAGGTGGCCAATTCTACAACAATTGAAGCAAATGGTTGGAATTTTCTTATATTCTATTCTCTGATAGAATTTCCCTGAAGATCCTTCCACCCAGATTCCCATAGGAAGCTTCTCTTCGAGTTTGATTCTAACACAAACTCGGCCAAACTCTCCCTTTCCCCATTGGAACATGTTTTCATCTATCAAACATGGGGTTCCAATCTTGGAAGCAATTCTAGAAACATTTATCTTATCCCAACTTTGCAATGGAAGGTTTGGTAATCTAATCCAAATCGGAGCTATTAATCCTTTGAGAGAAGAAGGTTGAAAAGTAGGAGACCATTTGTCCAATCCTATAATGTTTCCATTCACATACCAAGGGCCATTTGACAACGCTGATTCCATTGCAATGGGGTCTTCAAAGGCACAAAGCACCCATCCATGCCAAGTAAGGTCATGTGAAATCTTCCAAATTTATTCCACTGTCTTCTTAACTCCATCCCAATTACATGATAAGGAACATTATCGCTGTAAACTTTAACCACCATAGATTTCTTTAGTTTTTAAGTATTTTCAGCCTCAATTTGTTGATGTAACTTTACTATTCCATCTTCAGAGAAGTTGGCCCCATAGTCAAAATCAATTTTCCCGAAGTTAGTCTTCTTGTTCCAGACATTAACGATCGGTTCTTTAACATGAATAGAAACCACATTATCACAGTTTCCCAGTTCTACAGAGATACATTCACGAACCATTCCAAAATTCACTTTGTTTATCAATACTTCATTAACCTCCGCATCGTCTTTGCCTTTACTGTAATTTGAATCTTCTATTTCTTTAGAAAAGGATCCATTATCAATTTTGTTTTTCTCAAATCCACCAATGGAAACAGTAATTCCATTAGAGTTCAATAATTTTCCATTTAAATCTTCAGCAGCTACATTCCCAAATGAAGAGCAGTCTTCGACATCTTATTTTTGAATACAAGGCATATTGTTGAACACAGAGATTCAGACAAGACCATCTTCCCTTTACCTGTGTAAGAGTCTTGCTTCTTAGGAGGAACAAAACCTCCTTCATTGATCACCAACGGCTTGCTCAAATTAGTTCTCAGTTTACATTCCCGATCAAATATCAGATGATCGTCTCCAAAGACCGGGGGAGATGAGAGATGATTACTCCTCGAAAGGATCCTAGCAGCATTGGATGAAGAGATCCATCCATCTCTGACTCCAGTCGAAGGCAGTCGATGACTCTCCACCACCATCGGCGGCGAGAGCGGTTTGTGGGAAATCTGAATTTGAAAAATCATAGATTCTTTCTCTCTCTAAAAATGGGAGTTTCTCTCTCTAGAAATGGGAAAACATAATTTCAAAACCTCCTTCATTGATCACCATCGGTGCATCTTTTTACTTGTGGGCTTATTTTATGCCTCTTTTTTAAATTGTGAACCATTACGTATTCCTTTTTATTTTTGTACATTTGTATATTTTTCAAGAGTAATCTTGATCTTTCCAAAATCAATAATATAAAATTTCAAAATTTTTAAGTGCATCAATATTTATTGAAAAGTGAAATATAAAATAAAAAAATATCACAATTGCAATAATAATATTAAACATTAATGTAGTCTAATAAGAGACATGAAATTGACAATCTTAATTATATCAAGTTATAAACAAAACTTAAATTTAGAAAAATTAGATTTTCTAATGAATTTAATTTTGAGTTGCAGTTTAAGTTATAGAACTTGTAGGATAAAAAAATTTAGGGATTTTCATATAGGCTAATACACATTTCAAAACAAGATTAAAACCAAGACAAGATAACTTATATTGATATCATTATAATGGATATTACAATCTAAGGAATGATATCAATTACCACATAGAAGCAAAATACAAAAACATCAAATGAAACAAGAACATAAATAAAAAAAAAAAACATCACAATGTAACACATCACAAACTACTACATCACAATCACATCAACTAAAGAAAAATATAACCAAGTACATGAATCACTCTAATGGACCCTGATCTGGAGGAGGAGAAGGAGGCGCAGTACTGAAGAAGTTAAAATAACTGCTTATCATAAGCATGTTGGAACTAATATCATTCATCTGCGCTCTCATATACCCCATGTCCTGATTGTACTGAACATCCTACTGCTATAAGTGAGTTTCAATTTGATCAAAATGAGACTCTAAGCGATCAAATCTCTGAACCAAATCCTGATAATTTGGTTCACTAGCAGGTGCAGGTGCAGGTTCATGTTCCTCCTCTGAGTCACTAATAACATGTGCTTTACGTGGTTCATCTTTATTGAAGATTGCGCTAAACGATCCGTCATTGCAGTAGAGAGGTTCTTCAAAATATTCAACTGGATGAACCAATTCATACTTCTTCTCCAAAATATAGGCAACAAGATGTCCTAAGGCAATATTATTCTTTCTCTTATGGGCAACATGACCAATTTTAGAAAGTCCATAAAGATAGTCAAGGATTAGTTGGGCTTCATCTATAGGTTACTTAGTCATAATCAAGTAGGTTAATGTTGAAAGTAGAGGAGTAATGTTGACTCTATCACCCGCTTTAAGTAATGTTGACTGGATGATACGAGTATTACGAACAAGAGAGGACACTTTAGGCATATGCTCCTTAAATATAATTTTTCTAATCACTTCATTAATTTCAATCCAATCAAAATCAACAGTAGTGGTCATGGTATGTGCTCTAATTTCCTCAGTCCTTAAGTTCAAAAAGATTCCTAGGTCGGCCTTGGTGATTTCAACTTCTTAGAAATAAAGGACTTGATTATAGAATGGTCGGAGTTGAAGGACATGTTTGCTAGGAAATAATGAAAGGTCTCTTTGTTATAGAGATGGACTAGTGTGAGAATGAGACCAAAATTGAGTTGAAGGCAAATAAGTTTATTACCTGAAGGTCAGTTGATCCTATAGATGAGAACTCTAGAGCGGGGTGATTTAGCGGAGGCAAATCCTAAAAAAAGTTCTTCATGTGGCTTTAGACAGAAAAGTATATCAGAAGATTTCTTTGTGGACCCTTAAGCGGAGACCTAATTGTCGCTTGACTTGAATTTGCCATGGATAAGATCTAAGGAAAGAAAGGGTTCTGAAGGAATGTGTGAGTGTGACTGTTGAGTTCAAAGCTAGTCATTTAATGAAATATGACTTTATATAGACATAAATTACGTTCATGCTCGGTACAAAATTCAGTTCAATTTTGTACTGAAAAATTTTGTCCATGGATGAACGAATGAGTCCAAATGAAAGGCTTTCCATAATCACACAAACTCTACGAAGCGATCTTTCATACAACTTTTTACAATCGATCGTACAGAAGAACAGGGTTCGTCCTGGGACGATCAAGAAATTTATGATCATTTTAATGACAGTTTGAAATGTGCCCCGCATCATACGATTCGCAAGCTTCGTCAAGCGGACGAACCAAAGGTTTGGTACGTGACGTAAGCTATAAATATAAAAATGATTCTTATCAGATTTAACTGTCATCAATCATCCCGCATTTCAAAATTTCGTACCGGATGAATCTGACGATTGTAAACAGGACGAAGTAAAAAATATAAATTAAAACTGCATCGCAACCGATTCAAAATCGTCAATTGACCGCTATCATTCATTAAACACTTAGGTCCCGATACGAAATCATTTTTTGTCCTGGAGCGAATGTCACTTTATTTTTCAAAACATGTACTCAATCAAAACTAAAAACAAAACACCAAACATAATATAAAAAAGAAACTACAACAATTTCAACAATACAGAAAAATCACACAAGACGTAACACATGGATACACACAAAAAATATACTAACAAGAAACACATTATCAATGTGGAAGAAATATTTTTATTAAGCATTATCAAATCGATTACTCCAAGCCTATATATCTTAATACAACTAAAAGTATCAAAGGAAAGTTTTGTAAAAAAAATCTGCAGTTGATTTTCAGTAGAAATCATGAGCGAGTTTCAATTTCTCCTTTGACAACTGCATCCTTATGAAATGGTGCCTTATATCTATATGTTTGGTTCTTGAATGTTGAATAGGAATTTTTAGAAAATATAAATAAGCAACTTAAGTGTTATCCACATCTCATAATTGGAATAGTGCCTATAGCTTAATCCTCAAATAATCAACTATTATTTCATCTAAAGTATTGTGTCAGAAAACTATCCTAATGCAATGTATTTCAGCTTTATGTAGTAGGTAAGTCTACTGAATTTTGTTTTATACTGGACCAAGAGACTTAAAGAATTCCAATAAACCTGCAGTTTCAGAAGTGCCTCTTTCTATCCACCTTACAACACTAAAAAGTCAAAATTAAATAACCAACTTATTTCAAAAGAAGAGCAAACTTAGGAATACCAAATTCCTAGTTCTGGGTCTAACAGATTATCTAAAATGCTTTTACTGCTTATCAAGATGTGATTCCACTTGGATCTGATTGAATCTAACACAGTAAACAAATACTAAACTTATATCAGGCAGTAGTTCGTCAAGTAAGTAAAGATCAATAATCCTCTAAATTCTTTTGATCAATAGATATTTCCCATTAGGGTTGCTTATCCAACTTAACTGAAGAACTCTAGTTGTACTAACGAGGTTTAGTATTAATTCATTATACTACTTTTGGGATGTCCTAACATACTTTGACTGATTCAAGAACATATACCTCCTCAATTGGCTTAATGCTAAAGCTTAGAAGTCAACATAAATCTTCCATTAAACATCATTTCAAATTGCTACTACATTATTTTAAAAAAATTTCACAAAGACTTTTTATTTGAAGTGTTCCAAGATGATATCCTCAACATAAATTATGTACAATGAGGGTATATCCTTTCCAACTCTCTCAAAATTGAGAGTTGTAGTCAAACACTTTCTTTTCAAATGATCATACAAATAGAAGGTGGCTCAATCTCTCATACCAGCCCCTAGGTGCCTTTTTAATTTATATAACTCGCTTTTTCAATTTGAAAAAATTATTTGGGTATTTAGAAGTTTTCAAAACCATGGAGGATTAATTCCTACAAAAACATTCCACTTGAATATACCCATTTAAAAAGGACACTTTACAATCGATTTGTATATATTTTAAATCCTTTAAAAATAGGCAAACGGTAACAAAACCCTAACTGCTTCAAGTCTAACTACAGGCGCCAAAAGTCTCCTAAAAAAAATCCTTCAATCTGATTATACCCCATAGCAACTAACTAGCCGTATTTCTAATGACTACTGCCAGTCATGTAATTTAATTTTGAATACCTACTTAGTTCCAACTTACAGCTTTGATCCTTTTGGCCTTAGTGTTAATTCCCAAACTTTTCCTTACAAAATTAATTTAACTCTTCAATTGTATAG